ACATCGTTGGCCCTTAAGATATAGAAGAAGTAGACACATAACTGGGTCATGGGCCGTCCATTCACTTTAGCCATGATGCATACCACATCGTTGGCCCTTAAGATATAGAAGAAGTAGACACATAACTGGGTCATGGGCCGTCCATTCACTTTAGCCATGATGCATACCACATCGTTGGCCCTTAAGATATAGAAGAAGTAGACACATAACTGGGTCATGGGCCGTCCATTCACTTTAGCCATGATGCATACCACATCGTTGGCCCTTAAGATATAGAAGAAGTAGACACATAACTGGGTCATGGGCCGTCCATTCACTTTAGCCATGATGCATACCACATCGTTGGCCCTTAAGATATAGAAGAAGTAGACACATAACTGGGTCATGGGCCGTCCATTCACTTTAGCCATGTGTCAACTAGGGTTCGCAATACTGGTCCCTCTGGCATTTTCGATATTGAAGTTGTATGAGTCCCAGAATCACAATATTTTCGATATTTTCAATAAATAGAGAATTTTTTTGTCAAGATTCAAGATTTATCAATGAAATAAAAACACTAAGAAAAAAATCAAATTTTGATTTTGAATAAGCTTTTCACTATAACACAAATGTATAGCTTCAGACATTACTCAAAAATAATGTTCTTAACTTTTTAATTGTTTTATTAAATCAAATACAACAATAATTTGTTTTTTAATCTTTTAAATTTAAATAGCGAAATAGTAAAAATGACAATGTGTCTAATGTTTGATTGCTTAATTTTGACCCCAAATAGTTACAAAAAAAAAACCTGATGCCGAGAACACCCGCTCAGACTCTACACTGACCGCAGGGATAGACCTTAAGCTATCATTCGCAATTTTTAGACATTTTCTTCTTGAACCGCCATTCTCAAATAAAGTCATTTCTATATTTACTAATGTATCAATGTCTCCATCAGTTTCTTTTGTGTTTCAATTTCTAAATTCTCTAAAGTGGCAGTGTGTCTTCACGTTCGTCATGCTCAGATCAAGATGTTCAATTATTGTCATAGACATTGCCAACTGTTTTCAGATGTTTGACTAAACTTTTGAATTCCACGATATTTTTGTGCATCTGGTCGTAATCTGGCTTTAGAAATACTTCCAAAAAGTCATTTGACAAATCAAATACATCTTACGGTTAGGGTTATGCAAGTATTTCAATGTTGAAGCTACCAACAATCTGCACACTTTTATCCAACGCTTTTTAAAATCATTAAGGGCTTTCTTAATAGGCTATTTAGTCTTACTATCCTTTCTAACATGTCTGCCAAACTATTCCACCTTGTGCTGCAATCTAAAATCAAATTAAGCTCACGACCAAGTTTCTTCTTTTACATATTTCTAAAGACTTGTAGTTTTGGTAGGCGACTTTCTGAATCACCAGAATCATTGTCTTTTTCAGGTTGATGTTGTTGAGGTTGGAGTGTTCTCTATTTTTTTTTAATAAAGGACATCTTAGATTGTCAGCTGTACACAGTGAGCTAGACACTGTTAATGGAAAGGCCCTGCTTCATGTCCTAATACGGTCATCACTGGTACCGTCAGTAGTTCTTCTTCTTCTTCTTAATATTAAGGGACCACGATCAATGTATTGATCATTCTGGCTCCTATGTATGTAGAGATATTTGCAATGTTTCTGTGCATGGTATTGAAGAGGATATTTCACTGGTTGCAAGGGCTACTCAGCGTGGGTATCAGGAACTAGGTTTTTTAAGGCCTGAATCAATAGACAAATGTTTCAAGTGTTGTTGGGTTTTGGAAGCTTGTTCCAGTCCTCCTTGGCAGGAATGAGCAGTTCCTGTACTGTGTTCTTACTGTTATGAGCCGGAACTGCTTCCATGGCCTCATCACTGTCTAGGGGAGGGATAGTCTGTTTTCCCACAATTGTAAACATATTCAGGTCAGCTTGCTGTCAATCACTCTTACTAGGCCACAATTGAAAAATTCATTGGTTAACAAGGAACTATGAATGTTTACGTTCATAAAATGACAATTTCCAAAACTCCAGCATCAGAGACAGCTGAACTTTTCCTTCTTTAAGCTTACGCATTTGATTAATCCAAGAGATTTGAACAGTCTCACTGTGCTTTTTCAACATGTCTTTCATTGAATTGGAAGATGTAGGCAAATGGAAGCCACTTTCCTTCATGATTTGTCTTTGATGATGAGAAAAAAATGAAAAAACTGACTGGAAGACCATCTAAAGCTGTCATAAGAGAAACTGTTTCTGCTCAGCTGTGTAAAGCTGTCATAAGAGAAACTGTTTCTGCTAGCTGTGTAAAGCTGTCATAAGAGAAACTGTTTCTGCTCAGCTGTTTGAACTTGAACAATAGTCTGTTAGTTGGCTTTTTTTCTCTCGGTGTTTCATCTTCTGTGTCGGTGGAAAGTTTAGAACAAGATGCTGTATTGGTGTTTCATCTTCTGTGTCGGTGGAAAGTTTAGAACAAGATGCTGTAGAAATCAGTGCATGCATAGGAAAAAAAATTGATAGTGGGCCCTTAATATATAGAAGAATGCTTTTGGAGTACCAGTAGGCCTACTGGAAAGGGGGATATCTTTCAAGACAGTGGAATGTGCAGCCATTAAATGAGTGTGAAGGCCTAAATTTGTGCCTCCCAAACTTGTTACATCTAATGCATTTATCTGAGACATTGCCCATAGCTTTCAAGAAATAATAACAAACTGATGTCTTTGTTTCCGACAGTTTCATATGCTTTTCATATTTAGGTTTATTTTTTTCAAGGTCCCCATTTTTTTCTATCAACCTGGAGGGAAAATAAATCATTAAAACAATAAATATTAATTAACAAAAATGTATTTATTTTATTTATTGAAATCAAATTGTTTTGACATGGGTACAACTTTTTTAAAAAATATGTTTAAATTTTCATGTTAACTTTCCATGTACGGTACAGAAAAACTGGGACAAAATAGCTTGAGTATTGTTATATATCAAAAAGAAAATCAATTATGAGGTTAATTATCAATAGTTTTATCACAACATAGAAGTAACATAATTTTTCTGTGTCTTAAACTTAAAGGCTTGATTATCAAAATATGGATTTAGTCAGAGTTTTCAATATGTAGGTAATTTGGCATAATTAAAGGAAGTCAAGCAATCAAACATTTCTGTATAATAAGTTTACCCCATGATTCAAGTGCAACGTGTTATATTTTCCATATAATTCATGTTACAAACTGTTAATGTAAGTCAAAATTTGATCTTCATTTGACTATACCAGTTACTTATTTGGGAATAATATGAAAACATTTACTTACAAATCCTGTACATTCACATCGCGACTCAGGTCCCCACTTACACACT